TTTGAAAACTAACAACTTCTTCAGTCTCTGTGGTGTGTTTTGGGGACTGGACAGACAGGAAGAATGTTGAAGGGGTGTCTGTTGGGTGGGCAATGTCGGTAGGGTCACAGTCATCACCTCCACGCTTGACGATGAGATATTCCTTCACTTTCATTCTTAAACAAATAGAGAGCTTGTAGACATCCAGTTCCATTGACAGTTAAATCCTTCATTAGAAAGTTATTTATCCCTCAATATTCTGCCCCTTCTAAGTGTACCATGTACAGTTCTTTCATCGAGTGAAATATAGAGCCATGTAGCTCTCTCAGTCTTGTTTCCTCAGGCCTTGAAGATAACTTTAACATTCTTGATTCATTTTCCTAAAGTTCAGTAGTACTTCCACAGTTCTAGTGTGACATGATTTCATGCTCTTTCATATCTTTATCTGGCTATCGAAACCGCTATTAGCTTGCCTTAAAATGACTGCCCTTACAGTGAGACCTTAAATAACTGCTTAAAGCACTTGCCTAGTTTAAATTGTGCTTAAAAAATGGCGGCTCCTCCCCCTTCTCCGCCTCGTGCTCAAGGGTACAGCTAGGGCTGCCATTCTAGAATGTGATATCTGTTACTTATGACCCAGGATCAATCACATCATCTTGCCATACTGAGGGCAGGAACTTGACTGAGTCTCCAAGATCATTTTATTTTTATTTATTTTTGAGGCAGAGTCTCGCTTGTTGACCAGTCTAGAGTGACTTGCTGTGGCGTTCAGCCTAGCTCACAGCAACCTCAACTCCTGGGCTCAGCAACCTTCTGGCTCAAGCCTCCCCCAGTAGCTTGGGACTACAGGCATGCAACCACCATGCCCGGCTAATTTCTTATAATATTAGCTTGGCCCAAGTAATTCTTTTTATTATGTTAGAAGATCGGGGTCTTGCTCTTGCTCAGGCTCGGTTTTCGAACTCCTGAACCTCGAGCAAAACTCCGCCCCGCCTGGGCCTCCCAAGAGTGCTAGGATTTACAGGCGTGAGCCACCTCGGCCCGGCTTTCCAAAGATCATTTTAAAGCGTGATCTTTCTGTGGCCCTCGGTCACCCATGAAAGATTAAACAGAACTTCTGGCTGGTTAAGACGACAGAAGGAATTGTACCCCTGCTTGGAGCGAAGCAGCTCAGTCCCTGTTTAATTTACCTAGAGCATCACAAAAATTCCTATTCATTTACAAGGAATAATTTACCTTCGATCAAAAGGACAAATATTCATAATTCACTCAGAAACACTTCAAACGAAGTTTCTGTTAACAATCATGCAATAACCACTTTGTGCTTCTGCCTGAAGTACTGAGAACTCGTGTGGTTGCAAGGGACTTTTTGTGTTAAAAGCAGGCTGCCATGTGCTCTGACCTAGCACGTTGAGGCCAATGGACGGATGCATTTAGCTCAGGAGTTCGAGACCAGCCTGAGCAAGATGGAGACCCTGTCTCTAACTGAAAAAATAGAAAAGAATTAGCTGGACAACTATATAAAATAAATTAAAAGCCGGCAGGTGCTACATGCCTTGTAGTCCCAGCTACCTCGGGAGGCTGAAGCCAGGGGATCACCTAGCCCAGGAGTTTTTGAGTTGCTGTGGTAGGCTGACCCCACGGCAACTGTAGCCTGGGCAACAGAGTGAGACCCTGTCCCAAAAAAAAAAAAAAAGAGACCAGTCCAGTCGGTGAATCCCAGCTCTGTATCGTATTGGCTTTGTGGCATGGATAGTTAATGAAAAAACCTCTGGTGATCTCACAGTTTCCTTCATCTTACAAGGGACATAAAGTTATTACTTTCATAGGCGTAGTTGTGAGGATTTCCTGGAGTAAAATGACATAAAACACTTAGAAAGGGCCAGTTGCACAGTGTCTCAATGCCCGTTTCCCTCTGGCTTTCTCTAGCTTGTCTGACCTGCCTGTTCCAAGACGCTCAAAGCCTGCCGCTGTCTTCCTTCCTGCTGTTCTGCTCTGTGGCACCACACGCCTTTCTCTGCTCTTGCCTCTCTTCCATGCCTTCTCCTTAGTGAACACTGGAGAATGTGAATAGAACATGGTAGGTCCCATCGCTTCAACCCTCCCTTGGCCTCTCAGCTGCCTTTTTGTTTAAGGTCCAACTCCTTAATATGTCTTGCAAGGCCTTCCAGTCACTGGTCTGTGTGATTCTTGGCCACGATTTCAATTGTCCTCCCTGCAGTGCAGTACTCAGCTATTCCAGACACACCTAACTACTGGAGTTTGCAGAATGGGTCTTTCCCTGTCTTGTGCCTCTCCCTTGGCAAGGAAATTGCTAAGCACAATACTGTTTTTCTCCATCTCCTCCCCTGATGGATTAAGGAGCTATTCCTGTGATTTCTGGAATTAGCACGTTAGCATTCTTTTGTTTTAACTAATGTTCCATGCTTACTAGTCAGAACTCTGAGTGAGATTGGGTCTGTTCACTTGTTTTTCGATGCTCGCCCAATCCCTGGATATGCTGCTAGTACGTCGATAGTCAAAAGGACATAGCCTTGAGAATGTCTGTAGCATCTTTTCTGAATTAATTAACGAAATCGGTTAATTATCTGCAGAAGTTTATGAAAATACAAAGTGATTCCTTATAAAGTTAACAATTTTTAATATGTAGTTTAAAATATTTCAATTATTTTTGTCAGTATTTATTAACACTATAGTATTCTACTCTTTCATATTTTAAATTGTACATACATGAATCTTTTTCTTTGCAGCTGTTTATATCTGGGGGCTGTTTTTTGGGGAGTTGAAAACACTATGCTGATGGGCACATTGATTGCTCTTTCTTGAGGCCTAGTTAAGCATTAAGAGAAACAAATGACAGATGGTAACATTTGCATCTTAATTCCAGGTTTTTTCGATTGGCTGTAAGTTGCCAGAAAGGCTGATTGAACTGGATTTTTGAAATCAAGACTGCCAATCTCCATACCATAGAATAAAAGAGTATAAGAAGATGCAAGAGACCCAGAAGCTGAAAAAGAGGGCTGGAAGGTAAACATAAACCAAAATATCCTAGTGCATAAAATATTTCATCGATTAGATTTTCTGTGCCTAAAAGATGTGCTGGGATCCAAAAAGCTTCCCTGTAACATAAATGTAAGCTATAAAGGGTAGCTTTAGAACGTTGTAGTAAATATTTGAATCCATTCATCTCAGCTGTGATCAGGATTCCTGTTTGAAGAGGACTGTTTTTTCCTTTTTCATGCATTCCAACCATTGGAGGCATGCAGTTTAGGAAACA